GTGGCGTACATAGGCTTGCTACTATTCTGAAAGAAACCTGGAGGATCTGAAATAGGGTAGGGTAACATAGTTCAATAGCCTTTTAGCCTTTAATACTTTACCACAGGAAGTGAAGATTAGATTTCAATAATTATTTTGTATCTGAACAGCTCTCCCCAAGTGGAATCGGTATCCTGGCTGGTGGGGCAAGGAACTTAGTTGTGGCGTACATAGGCTTGCTACTATTCTGAAAGAAACCTGGAGGATCTGAAATAGGGTAGGGTAACATAGTTCAATAGCCTTTTAGCCTTTAATACTTTACCACAGGAAGTGAAGATTAGATTTCAATAATTATTTTGTATCTGAACAGCTCTCCCCAAGTGGAATCGGTATCCTGGCTGGTGGGGCAAGGAACTTAGTTTTCTTCCCAGTTAACTGTAGTAGGGAAATTTGTCCCCTTCAAGTATTCAGTACATATCCAGGGGATGCTGGTTCTGCATAAAAAAAGCTGGATTGATTAAAAAAGAGATTGCTTTCTCCCCTGCATTCAGGTCCTCACTATGAGACCGTGCGCACTGCCACGCAGCCTAGGTTGCCCATCATTGCCCCTTCCACTTGTGATGAGAGCCTAGAATTAGAAATTGATGCAAACCAATAGGTAGTAGTGGAAGGGAAAAAACCTGGCTGGGCTTTATTTCAGTGGCAGACTTCCCAGTCTCTTCCTGATGCACAGAGTAATCAATCAACTTTGGGGTGTATCTCGAAGAATCATCTTGCTGACCCTTCCTCAAGCCAGCCTCCTGTCACGTGGTAATACTGCAATGAAAATTAACCTGCTTTCTTTGTAGTGTGATGGCTTTGATAGACTATCTCCCAGGTGCACCCCAAAAATGCTAAATCTGGCTTTGGGCAAAAGTGTTAGAAAGTGCATGATTTCTCCCTTGCTGCCTCCTCAGAAGGTCAAAGGGAGAGAGACTTTCCCTCCCCAAAAGAAGGGTGCTGAATGTTGGCTGTCGGGAGGAACCTGGAGGAGGAAAACAGTCTCATCTGGTGACTGGAAATTTAGTGTGGGTGCATTTGTGACAGTGAAGATACACATCAAAAGAATGTCCCAGGATGATTTTACACAAAATACAGAAAAAAATTACCGTTTCTAAGAAATAACAAATACATTATGGGTTGTCTTTAAATGAAGTTCTGACCTACCCTCTGTCAAAATGCTTTTATGCTGCACTTTCTGCCACTGATTGTCTTCAGAATTAATGTAGCATAAAACAGAGCCTACTATTACTAAGAGGAAGTCACCTGATTCAGCCTAGCCCAAGACCCTTGGAATTGCAGCTTCATGCTGATTTTAAAATCCACGAGAAATGGGCAAGATGAGCAAGAACCGATTTAATATCAAAACAGAGGTGGGAAATGTGAACTATAATTAACACGTATAATGACAAACAGCAAGCCCTGGTCAGTTCCTGGCAGAGCAGCTGTCTATGTAGAATAATTTCCCTGTAGGCTGCAAAATGGGAGTGTGTTCATTAATGCTGCTGATGTCAAAATAAACTGGGGGAAGGAAGTGTGTCTCATTGCTTGTGTGAATGGGACCTGATTTGCATAGTGTGCCCACAGACCAAAAAACTCAACCAGGACTTTTTTCTACAGCATGAGTCAGTGCCTGTTACATGAATTTGCGAGTGCAGAGTCACTTGATGGACTGATGATAGATCAAAAAGAATAGGTAGCCAAAGTACTCACAATTCAAGTGTAGCTAACATACACAATCTTATTGTGAGGCTGAATAGTTCAGTTCAAGCCTTGTATGATGCCTAGACACTGCAGAAGTAGACACTGTACACATACTGGCTGCCTCTATACTGGCATGATTTTGCTCAAATACTTTTAATGGAAAAGGTTTTCCGTTAAAAGTATTTGCGCAAGAGAGCGTCTATACTGGCATGTGCCTTTGCACAAAAGATTTGCTTTTGCACAAAAGCATCCGTGCCAGTGTAGAAGCTCTCTTGCACAAGAAAGCTCCGATGGCCATTTTAGCCATTGGGCTTTCTTGCGCAAGAAATTAACGTTGCTGTCTACGCTGGCCCTCTTGCGCAAGAATACTTGCGCAAGAGGCTTATCCCTGAGCGGGAGCGTCAAAATATTTGTGCAAGAACCACTGATTTTGTACATTACAAAGTAAGTGTTCTTGTGCAAATACTTGCGGCCAGTGTAGACAGGCGGCAAGATTTTGCACAAAAGCGGCTGCTTTTGCAGAAAATCATGCCAGTGTAGACGCAGCCACTGAGAACATTGTTATTATTGCTAACTAGAAGATTCGCCTGGCATTGCTTGGGTCCTTAATTCACATAAGTTTTGGTTTTTTTCATTTAAATCATTGCTCTAGGGTGGGGCTGGGGATGAGGGGTTTAGTACGCAGGCTGCCCTGGGGAGAGAGGACAACTCCAGACCTTTCTTACCACAGCAACTTGGGGCCAGGGGAGAAGCATCTGTCCATGGCTGCTGCAACTCCAGCAGGCATAGCCAGGGGAGGGGTGCATGTCCCCCACCTGGGGGACAGACAGACAAACTCTCAGACATATATAATAGATAGCGGTCCCTTATTCCACCTCTGCCTGCTGCAGGCCTAGTGGGGTCATAACTGATTCAATCTCCATCTCTGCTCCTTTCTTGCGCCCTTGTAGTCATTCTGCAGTATAATTGTCCTTCCTACCAGACCCCTCCTTTTCCATTTTTATGAGAAACAATAAAATTCCAGGTACATCCCATTTTCCTGGCACAACCAAACCCTGACCTTGCTTTAAGTTATGATAAGAGGAAGGTGCATAGCAAATTTGGTGGTCCTAGCTCCTGCTGTTTAGGAGGAGTTCTTCAACAAATGGAATCACAGACAGACCACCGGACAGACAGATGAACATTTCTAACATATATAGTAAGAACTTTAAAAAAGACACAGGCTGTGTCTAGACTGGCCAATTTTTCTGGAAAATCAGCCACTTTTCCGGAAAAGCTTGCCAGCTGTCTACACTGGCTGCTTGAATTTCCACAAAAGCATGGACTTCCTACTGTAAGAAATCAGTGCTTTTTGCGGAAATACTATGCTGCTCCCGTTGGGGCAAAAGTCCCTTTTGTGCAAAACTTTTGCGCAAAAGGGCCAGTGTAGACAGCTGAGATTTGTTTTGCGCAAAAAAGCCCCGATTGTGAAAATGGCAATTGGGGCTTTTTTGCACAAAAGTGCGTCTAGATTGGCCATGGACGCTTTTCCGCAAAATGTGCTTTTGCGGAAAAGCGTCCGTGCCAATCTAGACGCTCTTTTCCGAAAATGCTTTTAATAGAAAACTTTTCCGATAAAAGCATTTTCGGAAAATCATGCTAGTCTAGACATAGCCACCATGATTGTCTTGGATGTCAGACTGAACTGGCTTGCCTAGTGGAATTATAGCTACAGCTATGGTGAGGTTAGCTATAACCACTCAAGAGAGATCTTGGAGTTGTGGATAGTTCTCTGAAAACATCCACTCAATGTGCAGCGGCAGTCAAAAAAGCAAACAGAATCATTAAAAAGGGATAGAGAATAAGACAGAGAAAATCTTATTGCCTCTGTATAAAACCATGGTACACCCACATCTTGAATACTACGTACAGCTATGGTCTCCTCATCTCAAAAAAGATACATTGTCAATGGGTAAAAAATGATCTCTTCCCATATGATGAGAGATGAAAAAGACCGGGACTTCTCAGCTTAGAAAAGAGGAGACTAAGGGGGGATATGATAGAGGTCTATAAACTCATGACTGATGTAGAAAAAGTAAATAAGGAAAAGTTATTTACTTGTTCCCATAACATAAGAACTAGAGGTCAACAAATGAAATTAAGAGGTAGCAGGTTTAAAACAAACAAAAGGAAGTTTTTCTTTTTGCAGCTCATGGTCCGCCTGTGGAACTCTTTGCCGGAGGAGGTTGTGAAGACCAGAACTTTAACAGGGTTTGAAAAAGAACTAGATAAATTCATGGAGATTAGGTCCATCAATGGCCATTAGCAAGGGTGTGTAGGAATGGTGTCCCTAGTCTCTGTCAGAGGCCGGGAATAAGTGATGGGAGAAGGATTGTTTGAAGCATCCCTGTTCTGTTCACTCCTTCTGGGGCACCTGGCATGGCCACTTTTGGAAGACTGGATACTGGGCTAGATGGACCTTTGGTCTGACACGGTATGGCTGTTCTTATGTTCTTTTGTAAAAATATGGTACATATCAATTTTCAAAAATACATGATCTCTTAGTGGGAAATTATGTCTACGAATTTTATGCTGCAATGTTATGCACTGTGTGAAATACCACTTCCCACTCCAGTGTAGAGTGGACTTTCATTCAAAATAAAGCAATTTTCCTCCTTTACAGCAAAGATCATGTTGACAGGAGGCATTTCTGATCATCTGTTCCACAGTACTTCACAGGCCAACTAAGAACATATGTTTCCAGAGTGAATCAAAATTGGAAAGGAAAAAAATGTTTATTCTTTGCTGGATTCTACTATTGTTTATCAAAGGAGCAGAGGTTAGAGAGTTTAATCTGTCAGGTAAGAAATTGTTTCATGTTTGTGGAAATATTTCAAAAAATTAAAATATTTTTATTGGTTGGTAAAAAAAATGAATATACATCCCACCACCATTTCATGAATTTTCCCTGATTCTGTGTAAGATTTTCTTGTGAATTATAATTTTATGCATTTTTGGTTAAACACTGATGAAGTGCTTGGGACAGCATAAAATACAAAATTCATAGCCCAGGAGTTATAATGGAAGGGAATGGACATGTCAATATGATGGAAAAATAAAAACTGGAATTTTCAGAGCATAATGTAACAAATTGCTGCTGAAACTCCACTGGAGAATACGTCAGGATTAGATGACTGTCTTGCCATAGATTTTCTCCCTTTCTTAATCTCATCACCACAATCCGTTTCATTACTTTGAATGTCCCTTCCTTACATTTTATTGGGTTTCATGGTGCTATGTATTAGTGGAATTTCACAGAGCTCCAATTAATTTCTCTTGGAAAAGCTGCAGGGTGCCAGCTGTGATTCCTTTGACATCTTCATCCAAGGAAAAATACTGCTTCATAAAAAAGAAGAGGTCTACAATTGGAACTTTTGGGGACTTTTCTGTCAGAAAATCATCCTGGAGGAAAATAAAAAAAAATGCCCATGGGAAAATGGGGGCTCCCCATTTATCACCCCTGATTAGCCATCCATTGACTCATAAGTAGCTATTCCCCCCCTTCCTTTCCCTCTCCCTCACCCCACCTTCTGTACTAAATCTGATTTATCAGTTTAATGATGTGTTCACTTTTTTCATTGTATTCCTTTGGTATATATGGTCATGCCAATTCTCTTCCAGAATATGATCTGAGGAAGTGGGTCTGGCCCACAAAAGCTTATCACCTATTAAAACCATCTTGTTAGTCTTTAAAATGCTACTGTACATAGTTTTCCCTTTTGTATCTACATGTTTTGTTAGTCTTTAAAGTGCTACCAGACTATTTGTTGTTTTTTAAAGTGTATTATGTTCTGAGTAAGTAGTACAATAACGCACAGCTGTTTTTATCAGTAAAGTCAGTACTGTTAAATGTCTTCATTACCATCTTAATGGCTCTTTAACAGTTTCATTGTTATGCTAATAAGTCTGGCAGGGTGGGAGGCTTTTTCACTTTTGAGTTAAATAGATTCCCTCCAGAGAGAGACTGGCCAGGCTGCAGCAGCCACAGAACAGGGATAGGAAGAGGTGGTGGGGCTGAGGTGTATTAAAACCCAGCAGTGCCCCAAATGTTCAGGTACTCTAAGCAGCTGTGTATTCTGTGTATGCCTAAGGATAACTCTGATAGGAAAAAATGAAATTGGCAAGAGCATTTCAGGTAGGCAGCCAGAAGGCCAAAAATTTCTGTTTCAGTTCTTTCACAACAGAATATTTTAGAATTTTTGTCCTGTGAAACATTTCAAGGTTTTTCCTTTTTGTCAAGAACCAGGACTATTTTTTCCCCTGAAAACTTGATAATTTCCTCCTCGGCTGGAAATTCTGTTCTCTAGGCAGCTGTAACTGCAATAGACTATTGTTCAAAGTGATACGTCATAGCTAACAGGAAGAGAATATAAGATTATCTTCACACAGTTTACTGATTATGTATCCTGTTGCCACATCATTTGATGCGGTGTTCTGACAAGTATCTTGCTCTATTTTAAGTTGATAACTGTTTGGCTGTGCATGCTCTCTTTGCGTGCTGCCCCAGCTCTGCACAGATAGCAGTATGTCAAACCCAGAAAGAACCGCCAATGACCACAAATCAGATAAGGGATTAAGGCACCACCCCAGGTTTTTTGTAAATCAGTGGCTCCCAACTGCTGGTTCACGGACCAGTGCTGGGCTGTGAACTGCTAGCTGTCGAGCCACCACGCACTGCCAGGCCATGCACATGCCTTGATGATTGGCTCGGTGGGACTCTGGAGCACGGCCCTGTTTGCCCAGAAATCCCCCTTCTTCTCTCCCCAGGATTGTCTCTTCTTCCTGTGCCCAGCACTGCATTGGCTTCTCTGCATGATACTGCCTTGATACATGGAATGCTGCCGGAGCCCTGGGGCGGAAGGGCCCCCAGGGGCAAGGGTTGCAGAGTGGCAGGCAGCTTGATAGGACCCAGCAGCAACAGCAGCAGGCAGGAGCTCTGGGAGCCAGGGCTGGGATTGGCCCCTAGAGCAGGAAGCAACTCGCAGCTGCTGCTTGCAATGACTCTGGGGCCAGGCTGTGGGACCTGGCAGGGCTGCTGGAGAGGGAATTTCAGCAGGGCCAGTCCCGCTACTCCTGAGGAGCCTCTCCCAGGGCAGACCAACAGCCTAGCCAGCTCCTGCCCCAGGGTGGGCAGCACTTGGGGGACAGGTAAGAGAGACTCCCCCTTTCCCTCCGGGAGTGGTGCCTCCAGTGCCCTGGGGCTGCAAGGGGAGTGTTTGTCCCTGGGCTTCTCCCAGTGCACCTGGCTGTGATCCCTTTCTGGGGCCCAGAGAAGCTGCTGCCAGCTTCCAGAGTACTGGGAACCAGCCTTGGGGGGCCGCCAATCTTGGGGGGAGGGGCTGAAGAGGGGTGGAGGCAGGTGAAGGAGAACAGGGATGTGTGAGGCGGGGGCAAGAGGTCGATGTGGGAAGCATTAAAGGGAAGTTGGGGGAATTCACTGAGGACTTATGGGGAGGATGGGAGCAGAGGTGCAACGGAGGGAACTCTGGGAGGGGATCATAGGGAGAAAAGGGGGGATGTGGGGAGGGGAAACTGGGAGCAAGAGCAGCCTGGCTGGGGAAGGGAGAGACACGAGGCAGGGGTTGTACAGAAGGAGACGGGGGAGATACAATGGCAGCTCCCCATCCCATGAGGTAGGAGGAGGGAGGGCAGAGGTGATTGGTGGTAGCACTTGGGGGCACCAGCTCTTATGCCTCTGACAAAATTTCAGTTGCTAAATAGGGGGCCCTGTATGCCCCCTGCCCCTGTGGGGGCCCCTCCTTGTATCCTTCCCTCTGCAGGCACCAGTCACCACGGGGACAGGGGCTGCCCCACCCAGCAGCCAGAGGAGAATTCTTTCTGTGATATTTTTTTTTAGTGTTGTAGATATCAGCAAACTCTCACCCATTACGACATGTATTGTGTGGGTACAGATGTGATGTAAAATAACATGTGACCTCTTACAATTAATTACCATAATGAATATGCAAAAATGCAAATAAAATGTTACTGCTGTTGCCGGCACAGAGTGCCGGGGGGAGCGGGGAAGGGGCAGAAGGGGGGGAAGGAGGGGAGGAGAGGGAAGGGGGGGAAGGTGAGAAGGGGAGGGAAGGGGGGGCTTTTAGGGTGCTTGGACCTAGAGCAGGGGCGCTTCATCGATTCTTTTGATCTTCCACTCCTCCGAGTTACCTAGGATCATGCCCAGTGACCCCAACAGCTCCCTCCTTTGAGAATACTCAACAAACTTTTGTCTGAGTCTTCTCATATTCTGAGGACAAAAGCTGATTAAGTGCTAAGGAACTGGGGTCATTTATGAGAGGGTATAGTGGGGTTCCCAGGGAACGGGAAGTACAGATTTTATGTAGGAGCATTTTACAGCAAATGATCAAGAGGAGAGTGATGAGACATAGTACAAGACCTGTAAGCAGGAGGCGAACAATGCCTCCCCCCAGTCCTCCCAGGCTAGATAGCCAGTTCCAGAGGGAATCAAAAATTGTAGGGTCTTGCTCCTGGGCTTTCCACTGATTAAAAGCCTGTTCAGCTGACAGGATGTGTTTGTTAATATCCTGCGAGTTTTCTGGGACATAGGTACAGCATTCATTGCCCATGATGGCACACACCCCACCCTGTGAAGCCAGAATATAATCTAAGGCTTGGCGGTTCTGGAGGGACAGTAACCGCAGTTGGTAAAGCTCCGAGTTAAGGCTTTTCTCTATGGCCAAGGTGTCATTGGCGAACTTAGTGAGGAACACAGAGAGTCGCCGATAAAGCTGGGCCAGTCGTGCCACCCCATAGGATGGGAGCAGGATCATTCCAAGCCTGTCCCCTTCACCAATGGGCTCAGGAGTGGCGTGCAGAGACCTGGTACGCCTGGGGCAACCAGGCGTAAGTTGGGCTAAAACACGAAGAGGAGGGGTAAGGTATCCTATATAGCAGCTTCTGTACCATCGATGGGGCAGCCACTTATAAGCATAAGTTCCACATATATAAAAGGACTGGCCATTTGCCCCCATGCCATTATAGCCCTGTAAGTCATGCAGAGCAGTGCGGTGCAAGTAAAATTGCAAGCCCTCACCGGAATCTTGACCTGACGCATTGAACAAAGGGATAGAGGTGTTAGCTATAGGGGACAAATAATACTGGAAAGTGCTATTACCAGAAAACCAGGTGTGTGTTTCTGTGGCAGATTGCTGGCAACAGAGGAGCCCTGGGGGAACGGAGTGTAGTCTAATGGGCGATGGGAGATGCGTGCTGTTCCAATAGGGATGCCAGGACTCATTACTTAAAGCATATTTTTGCTCCTGGGTACAATTTTGGGGAACCACTCTCCAAGGTAACCCTGCTGCATGGTGAGGGATTTGAGAACACACCCAGCAGTTGGAGAGATTAAATTTGCGGGCAAAAGCAACCTTTAGGGCTTCATATGTGTTAGTAGCCAAGTTTTCAGAGGCCCTTCCCCATCCTGCATGAGTGGAGGGCGACACGGGAGACAACAAGAGACTGGCACCTGTGGCCAAAAGTATTAGTAGGGAAAACTCTGCATTAGAACCCATGGTGAGTCTACTGGACAGGGCAGCTATGTTCCCAACAGAACCCCTAACCCCTCAGCGCTTTTTAAACAACAACTTAAGTCCCAGAGCGTCAGTGGATGATGCTCTGGCGGGCTGGACGGGCCACTGTTCTGCTGGCGGCGATGTGGGCACTGCTTTCAGACGCGAGTGATGAATCCAGTTTTTGTGTCCCTCACCCTTTGCTGCCGTGTGGGAA